CTCCCGTTGCCTAGCTGAGTTTCATGCTCCGCCTGCTATACTCACTGGAGCTGCCTGAGTTGATTAGCTGCATGTTTGAAGCTCTGTTTCAGCTCTGAAGAGGCGCCTGCGAATGAAGTATGTGCGCATGCGCATGCTCACAACCATCAAACCAGTTGTTAAGGTAAGTGCAGCCCACCTCTGAGCTGATTGAAGAAAAAAATATACACTCTCATCAACCAGACTTTTCAAGTTAGCATGTAGTGCAGTTGAGCCTTATATATAGTATATCTTCTGAATACACAAGTATAATTTATCATTCTTAATGAATGTCTCAGCATGAATATATGAATGCAGCCAGCTAAATACATTTTCAAAAAGCAACAGTTAAATCATGGCTTAGTGTCATTGAACATTTCTGGAAATCCAGTAGGACACTCCTTACAACCAAGGCATTTCTGATTTATTACGTTCCTTTAATAACACACAAATTGGATTATCAAATGTGCTCTGCAGTGATTCAGGCAACCACTAAATAGCAAAAAAACCCAACAACCCAGCAACCCCTATTGTACTTTTCTGCATTTTGATCTTTGTTAACCAGATATGGTAATCCTCATTCATAATAATATGATCTGCAATACTTAAATGTAAAAGAAACAAATCAGGTTGAATCTCAACAGAATGGTTTGGAATCTGGAATATTATGCTGCTTTACGGTACTATGTCTAATGATACGGAAAGGAAGAAACGGAATATTATCATCTTCAGGAGCTTCCTCCTAGGAGGAGCCAAATTCACAGCTGTTCTTCCACTTAAGATTTCTCCTCTTGCTCTGATATTCAGATAACTTGTCTGAGCCAAACGGCTGAGTTTTTTAAAAAAATAGGAGCCGTGTCTACTTTCAGATTCTCAAATTTCCCCTTGCAAAAATTGAAACTATTGAAAAATCTGTTCAAGTTATCAACCACCATAACGTGAGCTAGGAATGACAGCAGCAAAAGGCTAGTCCAGCTTTGGGAGTTCAGAAACTTTCCCTCCTGCTATATAACATATTTGTTCCTAGCCATTTTATTTTAGCTACTTTCTACTATGGTTTCTAGTTACAAAATGTAGCTGCTCTTTTGGTTGTGTTCCTTTGTTCAGATTACTGCAATTAGAAGAAAGCTGTTCAAAGGAACTCCTCATTTTGTGCAGCACACAGGCACCGAAATGTAACTCGTTCCAGGATAAGAGGCAATGGTCACAGTGCTTACAGTTGATGGCTAATAATTATCAATTTTGTTTTAGCACAAGCAGCTGACCCTAAAAGGTTTTTTAAGGGTATAAACAGGGAGCCCAGCATATAGTTTAGAACAATAGAGCTTTCATGAGATACAGCTGCTTCTTGGAACATGCTTGCACAGAAGCTTCCCACGGTCTCTGTTTGGTCTGTTACAAAGAACTAAAAAAATTAGGGACCCAGAAGCACCAAATACAAAAACAAGAATATATTTTACAGAAGTTTTGCAGACCTCAAGGTCCTTTTTTTAATACCTGTAATGATGGTGTCATTTCATTCTTCTGCCTTGCAGATAATTGTCTAGACCAAGAACCACAACTTCTCTGAACCTTTTCACCTGTATTTTGTTCGACAGAAGACCCTTTTGAATTGTTTGAGAGGAGCAGTCTTGGATTATGCTTCTACACCTAGTAAAAGTAAAATTTTGGTAGGTACTTATCAGCTGTACTAGGTAAAACAGACCTAGTCAAATCAACTCTACAGGTTGCCTAAAATTACTCAAAATTATTGAGATTGGCTAGAACAATAGACTCTTGCAAGCCTGACTTATACTGTACTTCAATGAATTCGGGAGGCATCTTCCTGAGCCAATATCAAATGTCATTCTGGACTTTAAAAATACTAGATAATGGTTCCTATATATTTTTGTAAAGGTGATCTTTCTTAGTCTCTCTAGTTTTGCTGCATCAGATACCTTTTTTCCCCTAAACTGTTTGCTACAGCTGCCTCTCACAAAGTCTGAATGACAGGTGTGGGTGTGCGCGGTTAGATTAGAATTGCAAAAATTCATTCAATCAGTAGATGGCAGCAAAGAGCTATATAAAGTTTAAATTCTAAACCGCTATCACACTGGTCACCTCTTTTTTTTTTTTTTGCTTTGGTTGGTTAATGTTGGGTAATTCTATAGACTCAATCTCCAAAGGATGCCCACTCACTTTGAAAGTTTTGGGTCACCAATCTTAGTGTATTATGTGAATGACCAAATGTCAACTTTGCTCTTATTTAGTAAACTAAGATTAAATAAATCATTAGGGCTATGCAGTACTTTGGATTTGATCTGCAAAGATGTTTTTGAGCTGGGGACATTCACAAAATGGCCACTTATTATGATAAATACCGACTACTGAAAAACAAATTGGTGATAGTGTTTCCTCCCTCTGCTTATCACCTACTATGTTTTTCAAGTCTGGAGTTGAAGTCAATAACTTTCTTTCCCTGCTACTTTCCAACAGCCAATATTTAAGCCCTGCTACCTGTAACGGATAAACACCAATCCCCCACAGCAACTCTCTGCCTACTCACCTAATGAGCCCATCCAGATTAGGTGACCTCCCTGTAGGACATATATGGAATCCCCCTAACCAAGTTGCTCAGACCAAAGAAGCTACTTGGATAAGCAGCAAAATGCTTCGAGCCAACAAGAAAAGCAATGCAGTTGCCATAACTCAGCTGCCAGACAACTCTACCAGGATGAGTGAGAATCTTCACTGGTATGTTGCCACACATTTTGGGGAAGAAACCCTGAGGCAGGTGCTGGAATATGAAAAGACAGCAAAAATGTGGCAGACTACAGGAATCACCTATGCTTCAAGTGCAGACAACAGAGTCTCATCCCAATGAAACTATGGCTGCAATCCACGGTCAAGGATTGGTTACAGAGAAGACAAGATCCTACAGAAAGCAGAAGGACATTTCCTTGATGAAAGGATAAGACAGGTCTACTTCACCTTTGACATCTTGCAACACAAATGCTCTTTTTGCAGCAACTGCTCACTGATTGACATTTCCATTGAGATATGGCTTCAAAATCCTCTTCCTGTTTTGTCACAGCCAGTAAATATCCCATCAATGTATAGGTGAAGTTTCCTTCCTTTGTACCAACATGGATCTCTTTACATTTGTTTACAATGAACTACTTGCATTTGTCATTCTAAAGTCTGTGCATCCATTTTGGACAGATTTTTTAGAATGCCTTTGCAATCCCTTTTAATTTTACTACCCTGAAGATATAGTAACATCAGCAAAAATGACGAGGGGTGGCTCATGAGGTGGAGTGGGGTGCCGATCGGCAGGCTTGCATTCGAGACCCATTGCTGCCACGGGGTGGGCAGGGTGAGCTCCCTTTACACGTTACAGCTTCTGCTGATCCAGCAGTCGAGGTGGGCGAACAAGAGTAGATAGACAGGTACCACTTTGGGGACCAACTTTATGAGGACACGAAAGGAGCCCCCAACTGGGTGTCCACTGGGCAACAGTGAAGTCACCGGCAAATCCTTCCACCACTGAAGTGCTTCCAACATAGAAATAGTAGTAGTAGCAAAGATGACCAAACGTGACATTATGAAAAAGTATGGTATGGTATTTGAATGTATATCATTAATTGGTCAGAATTGTCTAATTAGGTGCGTGATTACAATATTTGTTATCTTAGGAATTCTAATTAAGAGAGGAAGAAATTGATTCTGATTTATGAGATTGTGTTGGTTCTAATAAACCTGCATTATAATCCTAACTGAATTTGTTGTTTTTAGAAAGTAGCTTTTCTTCTGTTTTTAAGAGGATATTCAGATTTTCATTCCTGACCTGCCCACTCTCCCTCATACATTTCTTCTATATTTATTTTAAATAGGTGTGAAAGTAACAAAACGCAATAAATGGCAGGCAAGTGAAAAAATTCCAGCATCCCGGTCTCTATGTATGACTTCTCTTAAACTGTGGGTAATGCTTCAGAGAACAGAATGCTGATAAATTCTGCACATTCATGTTGGATTTTTGCAAAAGCAGCTGAAGAAACTTAGTCAGTAAACCAGTAAGGGGTGCTTTAAAGCAGTGGTCCCCAACCTTTTTTATTTTATTTTATCTTAATATTTGATTAAGATAAAAGATCAGTATGTTTAGTAAAGAGTTTATATTGATAGACAAAGCATCAATACCCATTAAAATATGGTCTTACTATTATTATGATTTGTTGCACAATCAACCTCACGTTATTTGGCATTTTATCCATCTTTCGATTCCTTCCCAAGAACTTGGAATAGGCAGGTGTTGATGTATGATGGTATTATAGGTATGATCACAGCATGTAAGCTGTTCCAAGAAAAGCTGCCTTTTGGAATTGCCCAATGGTGATTTTGTCAATGCCGATGGTGTTTAAGTGGTGCTCCACTTACTTTGGGGTTTGCACCTAAGGCCTCTATTGTTGTGGAGTCCTTGATGCTCTCTGAGCTTGGTAGTTTTCTTGCAGATGTTTCATTATCAAACTAGGTAACATCATCAATGCACTGCTGATGTTACCTAGTTTGTAATGAAACATCTGCAAGAAAACAACCAAGCTCAGAGAGTGTCAAGAACCACCTCCATTTCAAGCCTGAGTTGTTACTACTACTACTACTACTTGTTGTTGTTGTTATTATTATTATTATTGTTGTTGTTGTTGTTGTACAATTGTATCACAGCGGCCAGTTGTTTCGCCGGATTTGGCATTGGTTACTAGTCGGGCCCCACCGTTATTATTATTATACAATTGTATCACAGCGGCCAGTTGTTTCGCCGGATTTGGCATTGGTTACTAGTCG